GTAACTTAGCAAAAAATTCACTTTTGCAGATTTTCTTTGCGGTTTTTTCTATGCTAGCCTAAACTTTACTAATCAGCGATAAACAAAAAAATCTGAGAGGTCGTTGTTCAAAAGTGTGCGAGCTGGCATGGAATGGCCCATATATATATATATATATATATGTGCGGATTCACTTTCAATTAAGTAAGAAAGTTTTTTCATGGTAGGATGGGAGGTACAGAAGTCAGATTGGCTGGCAACTCATTAAAAGTTGTGACCTACGTCTAGAATAGGTGTTGTTTAGCTGGTTTATATTTGGTAACCTGCGGTTTTTTTGACATCATTCAATTCCTCAGAACTACTGTTATCTCATGCTGATCTGTAGCATCGTTGTCGAGACATTTTGCCAAAACGTGACGTTGTAGGCTCATTTTTAAATTGCTGTTTTTCTACGATTTTGCACTGAAAAATGAGGATGTACGATTTTTTTCATTTCTTGCGTGTAGGATCCTTGAAGTGTATTTTTCAGGGAAATGAGATTTAATTGGGAAGTTTGCCGAGCTTTTTTTTGCAAACTTGCTTTTTGTCAAGGGAAGTTTCTACAAACTGTGTAGGAATACAACTGGACTGACTGGTTATATCTGCCTAACGATGAGTTCTAATTAAATTTTTTTCCTCCTGTTAGGTGTTTTTAGATTTTCATTAACTTATATGACAGTTGTCCTGTCCTTATGACGGCTATATATATTATATATTATATAATACTATATAAGATGTTATATATTATATGTATCCCAGAATTTTCTTAAAATTTGCTGATTAGTAGGGTCTAGGGCAGTGTGGAAAAAGCTGAAAAAAAACCCTAGAAAAAAGAATTCCCCGCCAAGTTACACAACCTCAAAGTTGCAAATTTTGCTGGGTTGCCAATAGACATGCCTATCTTTGGAGGTTTTAAATTTAGGTCGTTTTGAACTTTCATGCCCTAAACTCTTAAATGCATATTTATTTTTTTTTATTCTGTTGAGTAAAAAAACAAAAATTTCCGCACAAAATATGTCTTTTTTAAAAAATTTGAAACTTCCTTTTTCTTTTTGTTTGTTTGAAATTTTGTTTTTATTGTATTTATGCGACTTTATAAGAGAATTAAAAAAAAAATAAATATGCATTTAAAAGTTCAGGACATGAAGATGGCAAATCTAATGATCAAAAAATCGTTAAATTCTATTTAAAAACGAGCTAAATTACAAGTCTGCAAAGACAGGCATGTCAAGTAACAACCTGGCAGAGTTTGCAACTTTTGGCATCGAATGACCCATTGTATATTATATATTATATGTTAATTACTATATATTAAATATTATGTATTATATATCACATATTATATACTATATATTGCATATTATGTACAATAATGTATGACATATAATGTACTAGATACTATATATTCATAATGCAACTTTGCTACAGTGCTACGGTAACTAGCTCTACCCAAAATAATCAGATTACTTTTAAAAAATTGTTTAGTAGTAGGACATTGCTGCATTAGAATTTTGATATAAAAAACCTGCATGACAGCTGCGTTCCCTTTTCTCCTTTTTTCCTTTCCCTTCCCCAAAAATTACGTCTGCAGCAACTTTCTTCAAGCTCATTTCATTTATTGAAAAACCGCGTTTCTTTAGTATTTCATTAAAACCGTTTTTCTTCATTATTGCTCGGCAAACCCAATTTTTTTGAAGATATTTATTATCTACGATACCTCCCTCTTAAAACAGCAAAAAACAGAGAAATTTCTGTGAATACAAACAGAATTACAACAGTTGGTAAGTTACAAAGTAACATTTAAAAATAAATGTCCTCCAAAATATTCGGCACTATCTCAGCAGAAAGTGGACTAAACAATGAGAAATTTGGAATACAAAAAGACTGAACATCCATGAACAAAATAACATTAACAACTTAACAACGCATCATGCACACAACTAAAAAAAACCTAATGACACTTTTACGAAATTCAATCGGATAAAGCCCGGCTACCTTCTTAATAGACGGTGGCATTGGGCCAAAACCGCTGGAGCTGCTCCAGGAAAAGGATTCTCTGCCCGCAAAAATTTTCACACCAAATTGTAAATGAATCCGACTATATATATATAGGCGCCGTCGTTCCCAACTTTTTTTTTAAATAAGCGAGTTTAGTTTTGCTCGGCCCAGCTGCGCCGCCGCTGCCGTCTCCTTCTCATCGCTGCTGTCCCCTACCTCAACTTTTTCTTCAAAAACCAGCTAGCCAACCCCTACTCGTTTATTTACACGTTAACATACCTTAAAACGCTCGCACGTGTAAGGTAGTGTGGTGTAGTGGTAGTGCTCTCACTTTCCGTACTGGAGCTTCTAGTTTTGAATCCACCAACCTTACAATGTAGCAATGCTGCTGCATTGCTTCCAGTTTTCACGCTACAGCTTCTGGTTTCCAACCCGTAACTACGAAGAAAGTGAGTTTCTATAGCGGCTCATTTTTCGAACACTCTAAATTGAGTTTAAAAGATGCCTTCTGCCTATCTGCGTATTGCACCAAACACAAAAGGCTCATATACGAAGATATAGCAACGGAAATGCTTCGTGGAATCTGGAGCAAACTAGGCTCCGACACTTTACTTGATTCCATGAACTATTCTAGGAATGTTTGCACGAAATATTTCCTAAAGAATCCTTTTAAGATCGGGAGCCCTGGTAAGGTAGTGGACATTGACGAAAAACTCCTTACCAGGAGAAAGTACAATAGAGGTAGGGTCAAAGAGAAGCAGTGGTTTCTTGGGGGCAGTGAGCGAGGAACCAATAAGTGCTTCGTCGTTCCAGTGGAGCGACGAAATGCTGCTACCCTTCTGCCACTGATCAGGCAGTATGTTGTTCCAGAAACAACTATAGTGTCTGATCAGTGGGCTGCAAACAGTACCATCAAGGACATGTCAGAGGGATATCAGCATGAAACTGTCATCCAGTCTCCACTTTATTGTTCATGGGACCGGTGCTTACACGAACAACATTGATTCTCTTCGGCAGAAATTTAAGGAGGGCCATAAGACACGGTATGGGACGCAAAGGGCGCTACTGAATTCGTATGGGAAAGTGTATGAGGGCAATGCGCTGCACCACCTCTCGGCTCAAATAGCGGAACACTACCCACCGCCACCAGGTTTCGTTTGAAAATGCGGGCTTATCTATCGGCTCCTGATCAGTCTGCCGTCCAATTTCTAAAAAGTCCTGCATATAAAGAGCGGTAATGCAGCTTTTCTTCCAGGTTTTCCAACCTGGGAGAGAAGCGAATTATGAGTATAAATGTAACATCAGTGTAAACGCTCAGATACACGCAAAACTCTCTTATTTACCCCTGACGGGAACAAACCACCAACCTCCACCCAAGTGCTGCATCTCCTACCACTGCACCTCACACCACTCAGTTCACTTACGGCCCCACAAACTGCTCTACGCTCCATCGCCTCGTTTGCCTCACACTGCTGTTCCACATTACTTAATAACATATTGCTACAAAAAGTCAAACCCGTCCATAATGTCTCAAAATTGTTTATAAATCTGCATCTGCACAATGAGCATTTCTGGCATCATAAAGAAAATTATTAACCTCTAGCTAAAGTTGACACAATCGACATGTCTCCTCGGCTGCTTGAAGCTGCAACGACAGCGACGTCGCTCCAGTCGCAGCTAGCCAAGAAGAGGAGCCTCTGTCAAAGCCCTTTCTCAAATATAATTATGGGGTTGTCAATCTACAAGAGCTCCAAAATTTTTAAAGAGCCTTCTCCTAAAGAAACTCCAGCGGTTTTGGCTTACGCCACCTTGTTATAAAGAAGAAGCCGGAGGTTATCCAAATGACCTCTGTAAAGGTGTGCTGAACTTTAATT